GCGACAAATGCTGTAAACTGAAGAAGGAATTAGTGTTTTTCCTTCTCTGGTATGAACTTCTTTAGATATCAAAATTTCCCTTTGGTACAAGACATTCAGATTTAACCACCATCTAGTTAGTTCTGCTTACAAGTAATTTTTGTTGTTGTTGCCTCAAGTTCTTTGCTTCTTGCTCATGAAAAAATTAACAGCGTCTTACAGAGATGTTATTGTAGTATTTTATTGAAGCTCTTTTCAGACTCCGAAGATGTCAGAGAGGATTTTTCTGTTTGGGGAGGTGGTAATCTTCAGTGAAATATAATGTATTTATTACTTCATTTCCTGAAATATTTCAGATCCAGACTTGAAACTGTTGAGGTGTATATAAAGCACGCCCTGGCTGGAAGCCCTGCCTGTAGCAGCTCCTGCTGAGGGAGTGAGCTCATCCCCATTCTCAAGGCAGGCATTTGAGGTATCTACTGTAGAAAAAGGGCAGTGTTTGGGTAGACGTCTTCTGTCCTCCCTGTCAATCAGATAGATTTGAGAGCAAAGCCAGGAATCACCCCAGGGCTGATGATGTCAACTTGCTGTGTTCTGTTGGGTTTGACCTACCATCGCCTCTGCGTAGTCAGCCTTGGACGTGATTATTTGTGGCTGTCCCACTCAGATGAGCACTGCTGCATCCACCTCTGGCTTGTTAAACACTTGAACACTTTTTGTGGCTCTAGGAGATCCTGAAAAGTGAACTCGAAGATCATACACTTCTGTCTGAAGAAAATGTTTGAACAGCAGCAGCCCGTATTAGTCTAGATACAGCTCTTGAAGTCCTTCCAGTACTTACTGGCACTTGAAATCTGTCATCCTTTTTTTCAGCTCCATTGAGGTGCACCCATTTGCAATTTTACCTCCCTGTCCACTTGTGCAACTGCAATAAGTGAGACCAAACCTGTAATTTCTGTGTTTCTGAGAGGACTGTTGCACTCCAGTCCATCAGACAGCCAGCACTTTGCTTCAGACCTGGCTTAATCATGCTAAGGTTTGTGAATTCTCTGTTTGGGTCTATTTAAGATAGACCCTTTTGCTGCTTTTATTTACAATGCTGTTTTACCAGTTTGTTGACATTCATGTCAGGGAGGTGAGAAAGTTTTTTGTTATGTCCTTTTAGCATCAGATTGAGAAAAAAGTATTGTAGGATTCCCTCATGCTAGTTATGAATGTTAGTTCCTGTGAAACTCTGACGTTGCCAAACAGCTCTTTTATTTTTGTTTGCAGCCGTGTTCCCTATTGAAAGAAAAGACAATAGATACACTAGATGTGTCAGGAAATTCCTTTGTTAGACTGATGACAGCCTAGTTCTATCTTTAGCCTTGTATTCTGGTACTGCAAGGTCCAGCCCTCCCTTTATGAGGGTACGGATGACCCGGAGAAAGCTTTCTTAGAAAAAAGTTTGTTGTTTCCACTCTGCGGCTATGTCAGTTGACTAACTCAACGATATTACTTCGCCTTACAAGTCTTGTCTTTCTGAGCAAAGGTACAAAGTTGCCAAAAGCTATATATAAATAAGGTGCTGGTTGTCCTGTGGAAACTGTACACGTGCGTGCTGTGTAAGTGTAAAGTCATGTATCCCCGCGTGAAAGCAGGGTGAGCTGCTGCACGGTGCTGCGTGTTCAGAGTTCACTTACCAGTTACTGCGAGGCAGGGAACCTGCTGTAAATCTACACCCTGGTTTCTCACGGTCATTTCGGATATGACTACAAAACTATCAAAGTGGGTATTCACAGTGTAGTACAGCATGTCTCGCTGTGTTATGAGCTGGCTGGTGTAACCTTTCTGAACATCCAGTCTTCTGCCGGCGTTAGTAATATCTTCCACTGCTTTGATTGTGCCAGTATAAGAAATCTGTGAGGCAGCTTTTGCAATGTATAAAGCACGAGATTTATCTCTGTTCCCAGGGTACAAATACTCTTGCAAGTGACCAATGCCTCAGGAACCTGGAGGCTTATTGGAATTTTTACTGCAGGTGCTTGCAGGAACATCTGACCTGAGGGCAAGTAAAACCTGTTCCTCTTTACCAGGCATACAACTCCATGGCCTCCTCCCTCATACATTACAAATCATCTGTGGTGTCTAATCCTCATTCTTTTCTCTTCCCAGGACAGTGTAAGTGATTCCCTGAAATTGCTTCGAGCTCTGTGACTAGGCAAGAAGCCGGTGGCAAAAAGAGAGGGGTTTGTCTACTGGAATCTAAAAGTGAATCATATTTTTGACCCTTAGGTATGATAGGAGCTATGGCTTTCACAAATTTCTTGGGGCATAGTGTCTCCTGTTACAATAAATCTTGTCAAGTTCACAGATTTGTCTGAGAAGTTTGCTTGATTTACTTAATTATTAGAATTCTGTGCAATTAACGAGGCCTTCTTTGGCCTCCATCCTCTACTTACTGCTTGGATCTCATACCTCTTATGTCTCACAAACATGCTTTTCAAGCTGTCATTGAATCCTCTGCAATTTTGATCTTCTTTTAACTCAGAGTTTAAATAAAACCCCTCCTAATCCAGCTTTTAATATAAACCCTCCTAATCCAAAGCATGTGTTTTCCAAGAAGATGAATGTTCTCCCAGGATACATGTCCACTCTTCATTCGGTGTTATTCCTTAGCGTCTGCCCTTATCTAAAAATGTGTTAGTTGTACAAAACAAAGCCATTAAAGCGTTATGCAGTCCTCCTGGGTTGTTCTGTACTCTTCTTGTATGTGCCTCTAGATTGTAAGTTCAAGGCTGGGATGCTGTTTGCCTGATGTTCTTCACCAAGCAAGCTGTGTGTTCAATGTGCTCATACAATAAGTGAGCCTTAAAGTGCTTTAAGGGCCTCGTGTGACAACTGTTGTGAATGTGCTGTACTGGGCTTGCAGGGAGGCTTCAGCCTGTAAGTGTAGACCCAAGAGTTCTCAAAACTCCAGGCGAATTGGATCCAGAGACTTGCTTAAAGCCCTTTTTAGCTGTGTGTTTTGATAGTAGAAGAGAGAGGGAATGTAACGTTGCAGTAGCAGAGATGGGAAGCAGAATAGCACAGAGAGGGGGGACTGCCTTTTAAGCACATAAAGCCAGGTGATAAATATGGTTGGGAGCCATTGATCATTTTCTGTAGTGTCTTTGCCTAATTTTAGCTTACTTAACACATGGCAGTCTGAGAGAAGAGAACCCTGCCATGACATCAACTTTCCACTGAGTTATTTAAAAAGATAGATTATTTTTTTTTTTTTTTTAATCCTATGATGGGTCATCATTTTAAAACTACTAAATATTTCTCATTGTAAGAACAAACTTCCTTTTATAGTATCCACACGCTGCCGTTTTTACTGAATCCAGCATAGAGCTATTTCCCATTGCTAATTGTTCACTCATACTCAGCAGCTCTTGCGTGTTCATGTGCGCTCTCTCTCTCTCTTTCTCTCTCAGCTTTTTTAGCCTTGTTGATCTGTTACTGTGACTTTGGCGAGAGGACCCAGCTTTCCACATTTAATGGGCTGTGAGCAGGAATGATCAGCTACTTCCTCTGCCTGTGAGACCATGATGTCATCAGCTACTCTGGGTTGCTTTACCATCCGCTGCTGCTGTTGCTTTGGTGTGTGTGGAAAGAATGTAAACAGCACTTTCCAGATGTTCTCAGGGCAGCTGGAGAGCCATAAATGGACTGTTTGGTTCAGGGATATTACTAATCTATTTAGGAGACAGCAGTGAATAGAGTCATAAAAACATAGAGCTCCAATGCATACCCTGTGCAGTGTGCTCTGTCAAGTGTATCACAGTGGGCTGTTGGAATGGTTTCATGGTTACACACCGTGTTCAGGACTTGAGCTGGGTGGGTGAACTATCTTTATACCTCCTCTCCTTCCCTCATTTACCCTTCCTTCCTCCGGCTTCAGCTCCTGAATGAAACACAGCAACCACGTCCCTCTAGTCTCATGCAAGACAAATGCTGTTTTGTTCATCTGGGGTGTCTCCAAGTTGTAAGTGATCTCAACAGATGAAGAGTGAAGAAAAGATGATTTAGTTTTTAAACTCTAAGTATAATATTTCTTGTAGTAGGAACTACTGAATAAACCTGGGGGTGTTTCATCTTGGTGCAGTATAGAATACGAATTTGGAAGCCAGTGTCTCTGATGCCTCTGCAGAGCTGGAAAAAGCATCAAATCTCACCCACTTGTGGTATATCCAAAAAAGTCTATTTTGTGGGAGAACCAGTCACTTCCTTCTTTAGGGTGTGTATGTGTTTTTAATACATTAATTAATTTTTACTGAGTGGTGGAAAAACTGATGTCAGAGCTGCATTGCGGCTGGACGTGCAGGAGCAGAAGCTTGTAGGAAATAATACAGCTAACATCATAAGGGCAGTGAAAGTTTAACCATGGAGAGTTTAAAATAGCAAAGCTGAGCCATATGGATATTAAAAGATATGACCAAATCAAAACAACTTTCTAATATTAAACTAGATCTTGCCGAGGGAGTAGCAAACTTCTTGGTTTAATTTTGTGTATCCAGGGTCCAAGGGTAGGTTCTTCGTCTCAACACCTTGATTTCTGACTTTGGTATTGTCTGTTTCTGGCTATAGCAGGATACAAACTACATGGGACAATACAGGTTGTGTCTCACTGGGTTTTTTTGCCAGGCCTCTTTATTCAGGAGTCTGTAGAGTATCCTTTTCCTTTTACGGTGGTCTATAAACTTGTCCAGCATGACTTCTTCCCTGGCACCTCTCACAGTTCAGATTGCACAGATCCATGACAGCAAAGCGGAGGGAGGCGGAGAAAAGTGCTGTAGAAATCGGAGCCAAAAGCACAGTTACATAATTGTACAAAAGAAAAAGGATTTTTTGTTTTTCCTTTTCATATCCTTCTGCGAACTGAAAAAATGTTGTTGGAAAGGTGGATGGAAAAACTTCAGCATCATTCATCCCTGTGGGGACATGAAATATATTGAAATGTTCCACCTGTTTTATGGCTGTTGCTTTTCCTCTTTCAGGTTTGACATCTACAGGAAGGTGCCAAAAGACCTTACACAGCCAACCTACACAGGGGCTATTAGTAAGTAATACTTCTTTTTGATGTCCTTGCATACCCCTGGTATAAAATTAAAGATCTTTTGGCTTCTCTGTCTCCGGGGAACTTTTTTAAAGGGATATTAAACACTGGAAAGGGTATCCTTTGTTGCTGAGACAGCTCATTTTGCCCAGTCTGTCACATCATACTAAACAACAGAATACTTTGCATGGATTCAGAATCTCAACAACAAAAAATAGTAAAGATATATTGTCATGAAAGGGAGCTCCTAAAAGCTGGCAATGAAATACCCACTCTGCTAGCTGCTTAAGTAGCTACAAGGCTTTTTGCTACTGTCTTCCCATGAACAGAAGCTGTGAGTCTGCTCCAAATGCTGGTGGTGGGGATGACTGCAAATTTTTTACCTTTCTCTGATAGGCATCCCCTCTGTTGGTGTGAAAAACAGCTGGCCACAGTTGCATTCACAGTTAGTCTACCCAGGTGTTTGCTTGCTGAAGAGACTTGAGGAACTATGCTACTGCAAACAGAGAATCTGGATCAGGAAGGAGCAGAGTGGGTGGCAATATGCGGTGGCCAGCAGTGAAGATGATTTGGGAAACACATATTTCTCTCACAGTGTACTCAGGGGATTCATCTGATGTTGTAGGTGGGACTAACAAGCAGAGATCTTATTTTGTTGCTACTTGTCATGCTTTTAAAGAAGAAAAATTGTTCAGTCGGAAACCACCGATAGCCATCCACTCTCACTCCCATGTATCAATACATAGACTTCAGCTGATACAAATCTCTTGCCTTGGGCCCCTTTTCCTTCCTTCCTTCTCCTGAGGGAGGCTGTGGGCTGAGTAATGCAATTTCACACAATTATGTGCAGTGAGCGCACTGTGCGGAGTCGTAAACATTGATCAGGTTGATCCTGCCAGGCCTGTAATTAGACGCCTAATGCAGCTTTCCTGTTCCATTGAACAGTGACTTCCTTTGATCATGTAGCTGTGCTCCATTCATCCATTCTTGTAGATGGGTCAGTAGCCTTGTATGTCATTGCTGACGTGAGTGATGTCATATCCCTTGGTGACAGCAGGCATCAAATAGAACTGAGTCAGTACCAGTGAATCAATGGACACAAAGGAAGACCCTTTGTGAGCTAAAGAAACCCTTCGCTCCTTACTGTGAGGATGGTCAAAGACTGGAACAGGTTGCCTGGGGTGGTGTAGAGTCTCCGTCCTCAGAGATACTCAAAACAACCAGACCTGGCCCTGCTTTGAGCAGATGAGTTGCATGGGATGATCTCCAGAGAAGTCCCTGCCAGTCTCAACTATTCTGTGCTTCTGTGAAGATAACACATTACTCTAAATATTTACTTTCAGAGAGTCCTTGTCCTCTGTGTTGTCCTGACCACTGAATTAGTTGTATTTTGACTCCCTTTTAGGTTCGCTGAAGCTGTGAACAAAGGGCTTGAATAAAACTGTTTGCTAATTTAGAGGCGTATGAGATTTAGTGTTTTGAAAGAACACTTTGAACTTGTTACTGATCCTGCCTTCTCTTCTGTTTTGGAAACTAAGAGTTCCCACACTATAACTGGGCTCCCTTTGAGAATTTGTCTTGTTATGAATCACCTGCAAAAGAGTATGTTTTAGAAACAAAAAAACCATCAAAGGCCATCCAGTGTTAGGCCTTCTGATCTGCAGTAAACAGAAGTGATAAGTCTGTTGTGGGAAGGCTTGAAGGCTGTGACTCTTACTTAAAATTATTAGCTGACTTATTTCTCTCTATTGTTATTTGGAGCTTCTCAGGCTTTGAGTTTCTTCTCTAACTGGTTCTCCTTCTTTTTCTCACAGTGTTTGTAAAGAGGCTGATAGAAGCTTTTGAACCACAGAGGCAGCCAACAAGCTGTGTTAGCTTTGCATGTGAGGATCTTGTGTGCAGGTTTTCTAATGGGCTTTCTCTCTGACCGAGCTCAGGACTTGTAATTTGAAAGCCAGTAATCTTGCATGTTGTAGGAGGCCATGAATGAGACCAGCCCATTGCCACACCAGTTTGGAGCCTGGGAAGGTTGCATGATTTTGTGATAAATGCTTCAGGGAAGTCAGCTTGTAATAACATTGGGGGGTTGAGGGTAGGGGAAGTTTCTACCTCTCAAAAAAATCTTTTAGGGTCTAGTAAATACGTGAAACAACTGTGGCTGCAGATGTATTTTGGCTTTCTTTAAGCCCTCCAAGTTTTACACAGCAGATATAAAATAGCCCATAGTAGACAATTATTAATTTTGGCCCTTCCCACATGATTTCTGCTGAAACTTTAGTTCAGTGTCACTTCTGGTGGTGAGGGCTTTCTGGAATAAGAATGGATTTACTGCAGGATTCCTACAGTTGTTTTTGGATTGTAAAAAGGCCCCTTTTTAAAAAAAAAACCTTGAGGTTTATTAGGAAAGATGGCATAGATCAGATTACAGAAGAAAAGAGATGGAAAGTACCAGGTCTGTTCTGACCACCAGGACTAAAGCAGCCAACTCCTGTAGCAAAGAATCAGCTCAAGGTGAGTAAGTGTGAGGGTATTTTGGTGGAGAAGAGCAGGCAATCGCGAACAGTTCAGAAACCCAACTGGAGAGTTATTGAGACTTTTTATTATGTATGGTTTTGTAATTTTAAAAGTTGCAGTGGACATGGCATACAAGATATTTCAGATCTGTGTAGCAACCTGTCCTGGTACTGAAAAATAGTAGGAATGAAGGAACCAAGAATAGTCCACTACAGTTTACTCAAGTGAGGCTTGTATAGAACAACATGCCCCCCTGCTGTGGGCTTCTCTGAAAAGTGTGCAGAAGTTACTCATTCCTTTTTCTTAATAGAAGTCTCTTCTTTCAGGCAACATTGCGATCCCTCTGCCACTCAGCCAGCCATGCCATTGTTATCCCTCTTCCACCAGATGCTTGTGCCAGTCTTTACAGGCTTTCCCACCTCTGTGTAGCGTGTCCGTGATGCCAGCACATGGCCTTTCTAACAGACCTGACTAGCATGGTGACAACTTGGCCATGTTTGGGTATGTAGGCAGCAGCAGCACGTGCCCTGGCTGGCTGACAGTTGGCATCTGGCTGGACAGGAGCAGTCTGACTTCTTCAGAGAGGGGCCTGCAACTCAGACAGCTGCCGTAGCAATTTGCTATTTAACAGTCGGCATGGATGCATAGTTTGCATGCACATGTTGTATGCACACATGGTAGTCTTATCCAGAAATACTCTATGCTGTTTGGAGGCTGGAGTTTTAAATACACATCAGGAAATATCAAAGTTATGATTCACATGGCAACTGTAACAAGATCTGTTCCTTGCACTTCATAGCAGTTTGCTCCATTGAACAATAAATTCTATTAATTTTATGCCTTAATATAGACATGGATCCACGTTCTGAGTCTGTATGGTGTGTTAAACATTTTGTTTCTTTCATTTCTTGTGGGGTGAGGAGGAAGAGTCAGGAATGTACGTAGATGGGATACGTATCAGAAGGGGTATGTACAAAAAGATTAGGTTGTCGAAGTTAGTGTAGGGAAAAAAAGCTTGCAAGAATTTCCCATCCTTTTTGGGAGTACTGATTAGCCAACAGCAGTGTGTGCTAGTGTGCCTAACACAGCAACCTTTGGTGAATTGATCGTGTTATCATGTTAGAGTTTTAAGAAACCTCTCTTAGATGGTCCTTCAAACTCTGTGGGAACAGCACGGTGCTCTTGCAGTTAAACTAAGCTTTATGCATTAATTGTTTTATTCTGTCTGATCCTAGCCTTTAATCTACTTTTCCAAATATAATGCAGTTGTCAAATGTGGGTGGCAGGAACTGCACATTTGCATGGAAGCAAGTAAAGGCCTTCACTATGAAATAAGTAGCTGAGCACTGTGTGTGTAAATTCTTACGCTGGGAACATCGTATATGCCTGCAGCTCCACGCTAAGGAGAGGAGCTCACATTCTGCGTCTGAAAAAAAAGTTGGCTCAAGAGACAGTTTAACCCATGAGACTTTCATGTGTCTCATACCAAAGACACCTCCCTGCATTGAAAATGTGTGTGTACAAGAAGGGTTTAACGCAGCAGCGGCCATGCTAGCCAGGTCAGTGCAAACGTCCATCCTCTTGTCAGCAGTGGTCTGCAGCATATGCCTGAGATAGAGCATGAGGACAGGTAAACACATCGCCAGTTGGCAGTTCCGAACTTCCTGAGCTAGAGGTGGGTCCTTTGTGTTTAGCAGCCCTCAATGGATTGCTTCTTCAAGGCATGTCTGACTCACAGCATCACAGAATGGTCAGGGTTGGAAGGGACCTTTGGAGATCATCTAGTCCAACCCCCCAGCCACAGCAGGGTCACCCAGAGCAGGTTGACAGGAACACATTCAGGTGGGTCTTGACTATCTCTAGAGAAGGAGACTACATAACCTCTCTGGGCAACCTGTTCCAGGGCTCTGGAACCCTCAAAGTAAAGAAGTTTTTCCTTATGTTTAGGCAGAATTTCCTGTGTTCTAGTTTGTGCCCATTGGTGTTGTGCCCTATTGCTGGGCACCACTAAAAAGAATGATTCTTTTTTGAAATCTGTATGGACTTTTTTTTAAAGCATCCCCCACATCTATAGTTGAGAATTTTGAGAATTTAGCTAGGTGTTGTGTGAAGGAAAACCTCCTCTTGTTTTTAGCCTCCCTCTTCCCTCCCAATCTCACACTGGAAGAGACAGTGAGTGGTTGTTCCATATTCATCTCCTTCAGGCTGCTCATGATTGTATCTACCCCTCTCATGCCCACTCTCAGTAATCTCTTTCACACATTGAAAACTGACTACATAGTTTGAAGACTGGCAAAAGCATTGAGGAGCTTTGAAAGTCAGTCCCTGCCAGGTGTTTCAGGGCATTCTTACAAGATTTTTTAGATATAGGTTAGTGGAATTTTACTGTACTGTATTTGGTACGTATTGTCACAGGCCTTCACTGCAAGAGCTGGGTTGGAAGATGGGCTTGAGGGAGCAAATAGTTTGTACACTGGAAAAGGAGAAGATAATTTGGTGATGGGAATGGCAGAGAAGAAAGTTAAATTGGAAGAGAGAAAGCTCCAGGAGAGGATTTACAGTTAGTAGTACCAGGCTTCCATAGACGTTCTGGAGAGCAGAGGGGTCTAGCTGATGCTGTGGAAAGCCTTTGCACCATGATAACAAGCAGAGAGGAATATGGGAAGCAATTAAAGAAGAAAGGGCTGTTTCTATGTCCAATGCTCTCCCCTGCATACTGCCAAAGATCAGAGATCTGGTGTCTCTGCTGTTTGGTGATTAACAGTAAGAAACACTGGATCAACTAGTTTTGTGCCTAGGTTGATTTTTTTGTGCTCTTACGTAGGTGTATATGTTCTCATAAGAATTTGCTGCTGTGCTTTAAGCAGACCTTTCTCCTCCCCCACGGTGCACCATGCCAGTGGTTTAGCTGGGTTACAGCAGTGCTGTTCTTCTGTGCCTCCACAGCCAGGACTTGGAAGCAACTCTGTGGCCATCTGAAGTTTCCCTTTAGAAATGAGTATCCTTTCTTGCTTCCCATTTTGCTACTGGTCTTTGACTTTGTTTTTCCCTGTTCTCTCTTTCTTCATCCTAGCTAATGGATTTTTTTGGCATCTCTTAAAAGCCCTTGCACTTTTCAGAGGGTCAGTAAATTAATCCACCCTTGAAATTACTCTGATGAGGAAGGGGAAGCAACGCATTTCTCTTTCCTCAGAACTATAAACTGACTAATCTGAAGAATGAGGCACAAGGTTTTAGGTCATTTGAGGGTCTGTCTTGGAATTTGCGTTATGAGCCTCCTATTTCCTTCCCTTGCCTCTCACATTCTCTACCAAGGGAGTTTGGACAGGCGCAATTGTATGATAAAATTGCTCCCCAGCCAGTTGTTGCTTGAGCTTCCTGAAAGAATGAGTATTCAGACTGTATAGGTCATGTGGAATAAAGTTGAGGAACAGGGTTTTTCTTATTTATTTCTCAGTCGTAATTAGTGGCTATGGTAAAGCGGTCATTTCCAAAGACTGCGTGGTCATTGTAACTCGGCTGGGACTGAGGGGTGAGCCAGATTGTGCTCCTGGTGTCACAGCCCTGGAATAGCATGCCATTTCCTGGGTTACTCTTTCGTATAGTGATTCATGGTGAACTTGGGTATTTTATTTAATACAAATACACATTGCAGCCCTGTCTCCTTGAGTTGGCACATCCTTGTCTACTCCACTCATCCCTGCTCAATAAGATTTACAGCGTTCCTTCCTTCCTTCCAGCCCCTCTTGTGTGGGTCAATGACTCTTGTCAAGTGCCGCATGAATGTCACTGTACCATGTTTTGAATAGTTTCCTGATGAAGAGTCACCAGTAGTATGGCAGTTACTTTGGGTTCCTTTCTTTTAACTCTAGGTTGGCATTCTTAGAAAAGACATGGGACTTCTTGTCCAGGTACTTCGCATTTCCTTCATGAGGAATTTTCCCTCTCTGAAGAGTCAATTTATTGGCAGATGGAGAAATTAGAGAGGTATCAGGCGTTGGCTAGGCTGGTCCGTTATTGCCACGTGTCTGCTATATCAGCTCTGCCTAGTGGGTAGCACAGGCTGTGACATGACTTACACATCGAACTTGACAAAGAACCGAAACGTTTCCTAATCCACAAAACACTGCCTTGCTGACTGTGTGCTTTTGAAGCAAGGAGGCGTTGATTCTTTTTCCTTTCCTTCCGTACATTTGGAGCACGGGCCCTAACATTATCAGGCAGCTTCATCAGGAAGGAAGGAGAGCTGGCAGACCAACATTGTGTGCTGGAGTTGAAGAATGCAGGAGCCATGAGGAAACGGAAATCATGATGGAAAAGGTGGCCCAATAATTAAGATACCCAGGAGGATGTTGGGTTTTGTCATGCCACTGAAGTCGGTGCTCTCATAGTCTTGTCTGAGTCACTAAACAGTGTTGGTTCTTAAGTGTCTCTGGATGGCATATCCATGGGGGGAATAATATGGCTGTGTGAAAACACTTCATGTCTTTGTTAGAGATATGAAACTAACCCTTTCCTCTCCTTGCTTCTTTTCCAGTCTCTGTCTGCTGCTGTCTCTTTATACTGTTTCTCTTCCTGTCTGAGCTCACCGGATTCATAGCCACTGAAATGTAAGTAAAAATCATGTTTTCCTTTGTTCGACTGTATGTGCATATATGATTCTTTACAGCATTACTCTGTTAGCTTGGAAAAATGCGCCTGTAATTTCACTAGGTCAGTTAGTTGTCTAATGGTTTTTGGATTTCTTTTGATTGAGTCCAATTTCTCAGTCATTCATTCAACTTTATAATTTACTTTAGTGAAAAAAAACTAGTGTATTTTTCATCAGTGAATCTATATGTTTAAACATGTGGTGCCTACTGGTTGAATCCACGTGGCCCGTGCTCTGAGACTGTAGGGTCCCATTGCAGATACATCTCTGACAAGATGTTTTCTTTTCCCATCACTCCCCCAGGGATAAAATGGGTATCACATTCTGCTGGTCTTTTTGGAAAAATGAACTGCATAAAAATACAAATGATTACTAGTTTAATGTTAATAGTACCTGGGGTTTTTTTTAAATCCCAGAGGTGAGTTTCTGATACATGCAGGTAGCTTTACTCATGCATGAGTTTTACTTTCTTTTCACCCGTTGAGCCTTACTTGGAAACTTATTTGACAGGTTTTGTGCTGGAGACAAGTTGTCCCAGGTAGCCTCTTTGGAACCTTGCTTTGAGTAAAATGGAAATAATTTCTGCTTTAAAAAATCGCTCATAGAACAAGTATTTTAGTTAATCAGAATTAATTTCCCCTCCTCTGTTCTCATGCTCCTCCCACCTTTAAGTAAACTTTTCTTAGTAACTATTAACACAGGTACCTTTGGTTTGGATTCTAGGAAACATTCTCCATCACGTTGCTGATGTGGCAGTGAGCTCACTAGACTGTGATGCACGGTTCCTGGATAGTTAGGAAGGGTGGAACTTCTGTCCGACTTCTGTGACGGTCCAGATAGCAACAGATGTCACTGCTGAGCAAAAAGCTCTGAAACGCGTTGGGCTCATGTGCCGTGTTGAGGTTGACTGTGCTTTACGTGGCTTCTGATAACTGTGTGGGTTTTTCATTGTTTTTGTGCAGCTCTGACTTGGGTCAAGAATATAATTTCAAGAATAATTTTAACCTTGAGTAATGTTTAACCTTAAGAGGGTAGTGTAATCTAGCTCTAGCTAATTTTTTGTGCCCATTACACATTACTTCAGAGATGGTATCTTAGGTTTCTTACTCGCTGTTTCTTTGAATTCAGTTCCATAAATTTGCTTGTGAAATACTCGGGGCACCTTATCAGCTCACTTCTCTCAGGAGCTGAGTTTTCGTGGTTTTCTTCATTAAAAAAAATAGATAAAAGCTAGACAAATTGCTTCGAGTAAAATACTACTTTTTCCTGTTCTCCTCTTAGGTCTCATTCTCTCATCTGTTTTCCTTTTTTTCTTTTAGTTAATGCTTTACCAGAGGAATTGATAATATTTACCTAATTTGATCCAATTATTGGAGTGTTCATGCCTTTTTGTAGTGGTAGTTTCCTGACTAGAGATTTGTTTTTTAACAGAAAAATTGTACGGTTCTCTGAGGTTTTCTCATGGCTTTTTTTTCTTAACAAGATGATGCATTTTCCACAAGGATGTTCGAGGTGCTGTAAATTCCTGCATGTTCTGCTGGCAAGTTTCTCATTAAAACCTCAGAGAGATAGTAAACTGCTTTTCCCAGCAGGAACTGTGTGGGGAGGTGTTTGTAAGCAATAAAGCAGTAAAATTTTAGAGAGGATGTCATGGAAGGGACTAAAGCAAATGAATGCAGGAAACTAATTCGTCATGGACCATCCAACACAATACATCGCAGAATATAAGAACCTCCTTCTGATGAGTTATAAGTCATCAAAATCTCTCTTGCTGGGAACAGGTCACCCACAGCCTTTGTGAACAGGCTCCCCCTGTAACAGCGGAAATACTTCAGAAAGTCACACAACAAAGTGCTTCCCAGTTCAGCAACTTCTAAAGTAGAAGTAAACTTTTCATTTTCCATTTCTTACTCATTGCTTTCTCTTCTGGGAAACCCAGTACCTTAAAGGTTCAAAGATGCTGCTAACCTCTTGTGCTTCCATTGCAAGGGTGTATTACTGGCAGTGCATTGCGAGGCAGTGTAGTCTCATCGTTCGGAATAAGAGTGCAGAGCTGTGGGGCTCTACGTGGTCTGGAACAAACAGTGTGAGAACTCTGTGCCACCATTTAAACTGGGTGGTAGCAAATAACAGGGGAGATATTATCTCACAAAGATATTTTGAGCGTTGAATGAATCAAATACTTTTGATTATACGGAAGATTCCTTATGTGCAAACTGTTCAATACCCATCAGCTTTTACTGCAGACTTCAAGTTTCTTTTGTATTAATTGTCCTACAACAGATATTTCTCCCAGCTTGAAGTCTCCTGGTGTCAGCCGGGATCTGAATGATTAACTAGAGTGTGCGCTTACATGGGGTGAGCTTTCCTGCTTTGCCACTGCCAGCTGTTCTATTAGCCTGCATCAGTCTTTCTCCTCTTGTGTAATACTTCCCTTAAAGCAGTCGTGCGCTTGACAAAAGCTGGGTTGCACAGGGATAGCTGCACATTTTTGATGGCAAGGTGAAATCGAGAGCACTTGGCCTGGTGCCTTACATCCGAGACGTACCGGGTTCGCTGGTGTGGACTCACGCTTACCTCATAGCCCTGTTACGCTGAGTAATTGTGCATGGTGTGTGCGCATCGACAGCTTGCTCCGGGGCAAGTCGGCAGCAACCTCAACAGCAGTGGTACCCACAGGATTAACCAACTCTCACCAACGGGAGGTTTCTTTGGTATCTGCATCTAAAGTGACAGGTTGGTGTGGTTTGCTGAACTCATGCTGTAACATGAGAAAATAAGGTCTGCTCTGCACCACACTTACCCCTGATACTTGCTGGCTTCTGCCCGCTGGTGGACTTTCTTCTATGTTCACATGAGTCTAGCAACTTAAATTCCTGGTATTACTAGAAATCTCAGTTTGGTCACTCTTGCCCAACCTCAAAGCTGTTTTTCCTTGACCAGCCCATTGTCTTAGCATTTATAGTCTCAGCTGCCGAAGACTTGTCTGGGTGGCAGAAAGCCAAGAAATTACACCCTCGTCTTGAGGGTAACAGTCATAACACTAAAACCAAAGAGATAACCTATGTGGGGAAGACGGCGTGTATCGCAGTAGCTATGTCATAACTCGTGTGGGCATTTCTGATGAGCACCAAGATTGCGTCTGTGCACGGGAGCTTGCTTCAGCTCGGAAGCCGAGGCGAGACGCTGTGTGCGTTACGGCGGACATGCAGGAAGTTCATGTGGCAGAGGCAACACGCTATAAATGCGCATCCTACTTTCCTGCTGACTGGCTTCCTGTGTGGATGAGCCCTGAGTAGGGTAAAAACCTCCTGGTTTCTCACCTTCTAGATTTATTGCGTGACCCTAACAGGCAGTCCTCTGAGCAGCCATGAAGGAAATCAAAACTTAGTTCTTAGGTGGGGCTACATCCTTTTCAGGAAAACAACAGTGGAGGACTGATGGTGAGGGAAGAGCTTTTTCTTTGCTCAGCCACAACCCATCATTGCGGCTAAGGGGAGGGTGGGTTTAACTCTGGAAATCAAGGATGTTCTTGATTATTTTTTCCTTTTTTGTGTGTGTTTTTTTAATGTCCAGACTCAGAGTGAGTGAAGGCTTAGGTCAAAACAAGAATCTAGATTAACCTCCTCAATTCTGTAGAAAACAGATAAAGGAAAGAGGTCCACGCTCCACATTTGAACCTCTGCAAAGTTAACAGTATCAAACATGGTTGTCCCACACGCAAATGAATCCAATGGCTGAAGAAATGGAGCTAAAGTGTTAAGTGTGTCTGGTATTTCCTGGGTAGGATAGTTAGTAGGTTGAGAGTTGAGCATAGATTGAGGGCTAGAAATTGCTTGGCATGCCTTTAGCAGCCTTCCTCATTCATCCTGCTGTTATGTTGCAAATCAAGCACGTAGAAATCACCTATCTCTTTTCTAATTAACTCAGATCAACGCTAGAAGTTAATAGCTGGCAAGATGATAATCTTGCCGTTTTACCACTGTAATTAGGTCATGAATTATGTTCTGTAGGATCAATAAGAGTTTTCCAAGTATTCCATCATTAAGGAGGAAAGATGTAATTAACTAATCTAGTCTGCCTTGCATTGGCAGCCAGGAGAAGGGGTAGGAGGGCATGAATGTGATACTTGTGGTATGAATGTAGCTGCTCAACAATAATTCATCTGCCACAACACATTGTAGAAAGCAACAGACCGTTCCTGGCAGTGTTTTCTTGTTTTCTTTTTTTTTTTTTTTTTTTTTATTTGTATAACGGCAAAAAAAAAGATGCTTCTAAAGCTTCTTATGTTACAGCCTTTACCGTCTTCATTTTGGAATAATTTCTCCCTTACATTCTGGAGTAATACAGGTTTTCCATGGGATCATAACTGCCTTACTGTGCACTTTTCAACTTTTGTGGATGTTTAATTGCTAGAGAAGTTAATTTTTGTCCATATGGAATGTGCCATTGATGGTTTTATAAAGTGTGTCCTCTCATTTTAAAACAATTAGTCCTAAGAAATGTAATTGAATGAAATTAAATTCATGAGGGAGGTAAACACCAGGGATGGAGAAAAGCTATTTAAACTAAAGGACAATATTGGCACAAGAACTAATGGGTGAAGCTGGCTGTGAATAAATTCAAGCTGAGAATTAAAAGAAGGTTCCTAATTGTTAGAGCAGTGAGGTTCTGCAATGGTTTTTCAATCAAAGCTATATCATAAGCACTCTTAGGAAGTAGTTTGACTGCCGTATGAAAACCATTAAATTATGCAGTACTTGTTGTGGCTGAGGACTGGACTGAAATTTGGTGGTCCTTTCCTATCTTGCAATCCTAAGAGAAGCGTATACTTTCTGAGAGATTTGTTTATGAGTTGGAAATTTATCTTCCTATGTTCTGATGGATGCATAAATTTCATTCCCGTTGATTTTAATCACAAGATCAGCCCTTGGCATATTCATTTTGATGTGTTAATTA